TATTCACCAAGGACCCCCTGTGTGTCTAGGACTAATCCACGCATCTTCCCTGGATGAGCCCTTTAATCCTTACACCAGCCCCCGAGGTAGGAGCCAGGGCGGGCCCCAGTTTTCAGTTAAAGGGGCTGAGGGGCAGGGAGACTGAATAACCTGCTCAGGTAACTTGAAGCGCACCAGGCAGCGGGCCTGGCCCACAGAAGGCACGTGACGTCCACACCGGCCCTGCCACGGCCACGCGAGGCCCTGGCCAGAACTCGGGCAGGTGGCCATGATGTGGCCTCAGCCGGGGCAACTGCTGTCTGGCAGGGGCGAGCTGGGACCCCCGACGTGGGACTCCAGTACCCCTACTCTTAACCACCCCGTCCAAAATCGAGCGGGGAGGGGTGGTTGATGGAGAAGTGAAATTCAGTCCTGTCCCTTTATTTTTTATAACTACAGCAAGCAGTTCAGTAATTCAGTAAACAGGACACCTGTGTACTCAGCCTAACCATCGCAGGCATGGTAACGGCTCGAACCCTGAGGCACCTGGGTTTGTCTCTTTCCCGAACTTTCTTTAACATAATGTTGCTTTGAAAACGAAACGAGTATATTTGTATAAACCAAGTCGAGCTGTGAGGAACTGTTCGGTATCCAGCGATCACTGCTAGAATCATTACGCCAGATCTGTGGGAATAAGGGTGGAGGCCAGAGCCTGTAAAACATATCTGTGAAACAAACAAACAACCTCTTCAGGCATCTGATGATCAGCGAGCTTTGGAGGAAACAAACTGCGCCCCTGAAATACTTAAAAAATCTATTTGGGGAAAAACAACACATTAAGAGGTCCATGTAGGAATGACCCTGCTCCATCCTCGGGCTGCTGCCCTCTTCCCGCCCTGCCCTGCCCACCGAGCTCGGTAAAGGGCTGACTGTTGTTGACGCCCCAAGTTCCTGCCTCCCCTTCATTCTGGACCTGCTGTAGCCCAGCCTCCCCTGGCCTGAACGCGCTCCCATCACCTGGGGTGACTGCCCGCAGCAGCACCCCCTCCCCCCGCCTCCAGATGATCCTCTGCAACTTTGCCTCCACCTCTGGGAACAATTTCCTCCTGGCTCCTCTCTCTCCCCCCGATCCCGTTTTCAGGGCTGGGTGCCCAGGAGTGCGGTGCTGCTTCACCAGATCCCACTCACACATCTGACTCCTATTCCAAAGGTCCGAGCTGGGGATCTGAACAGAAGAACAGCGGGCCTTTCTCTGTCTGGCTCTTTTTTTTCTTGCTCTCATCTATCTTTTCCTCTCCCCTTCCTCCCACCATTTCCTCTCTTTCCTCCCTCCCGATCTCCTCCCTCCCCGGTCCTCTGCCTCCCACAGTCTTCCTGTGTCTTGGGCTCAGCGCTCACTGCTTGATGGATTTGGGGACTCATGCCCTCTTCAATCTCATGCAAATCCCCATGATCAGCAGCTGGAAGCAGGTGGGACCCACAGGCTGCAGCCACCATCAGGGTTGGCTCCTGCTGTACAAAGGCAGCTGCCCACCAGAAGCAGCTAGAGCTCCCCGCACCTGCAGCCCCTGCCCTCCGCCCACCAGATTTCTCTTCCCGTGGCCTGGACCTGCTGGAATGAGGTCGCCTGTTCCTTCCAGACTGCTGGAAGGTGACTCTGAAGTCCAGGAGTCAAAGCCAGAGACAGAGGGTGGGAAAGAAGAGTGGGGAACAAGGCAGAGAGAGGGCTCAGATTCCAAACCCACAACCTTGGAAAGGCCTCTGGGCTTTTCATTCCATGTTCACAATTTAACACAAGGTATTAACCAAAGCTCTCCACTTTAGGGAAGCATACCTGCTCTTCCAGAGATATTTTTAAAATAGGAATGGGACAATTGAATCATTTTACAATTTCATACCACTGTACATACATATTTGACAGCAACAATATCAAGCTCACAT